ACCCGGCCGGCCTCACCGACGCCGCCCCGCCACCCCCTCCCGGGGCCCCCGCTGGAACCCGCCGGCCAGCAACCGAGGCGCTCCTCTCGTCGAGCCTGAGAAAAGTACTCCATCGAGGCCCAAGCAACCTCTACATTTTAAAAAGCGGGAAAACAAAATCCTATCAAAAGCAGAAGGGATGGGGATTGACCGGCCGCCGGCCCGCCTCCCAAGGCCATTGATTGGAGGAGACGGGTCCCAATGCCGGAAGTTCTCCTTGAGTCGCATGATTGGCTAGGAGACACAGAAGCTCCGCCCGACTGCAGCGTTGATTGGTGCCAGGCCCGGGCCAGCCCCCAAAGTCTCGTGATTGGCGGAGGACAGCAAGCGCTCCCTAAACGGCAGCATGATTGGTCCAGGCCACGCCGCCTGTTCCCGATTGCCTGGCGACGCCCAGGCGAGGGCCGGGCCTCAGCGACGCGCGGCTGAGCGAGAAGGGTCGCTGCGAGCCCAGCTCAATTACCTCGGTAGACCTCGATCTTGCTGGCCTTGGCCAGCATGTCGATGATGTGGGCCTCAAAGTCCGCGTCGTGCACGCCCGTCTTCCGGAATTCGCCCGCGTACCGGTTATTCTCCCAGTAGTGGTGCCAGTTGCCGCGGCTGTCGGCCCCGAAGCCGTACACGTTCACCTGCAGGGAAGGGCGGCGGGGTCACCGCGCCTGGGCACAGCCCGGGAGGCCGGAGGCACTTCGGGGACGCAGGGGACATCCAGGCCCGGCCCGCGCTCCTTTCAGCTCTCCTTCCTCTCCAACCCTTGTCAACTTCCTCCTTTCTTTAGTTTTGAGACAGGGTCTTACTATATACGTACCCCAGGCTGGCTGCTAGCTTTGTGTCCTCCTGCCTCAGCCTCCAGAGTAGCTGGGATTACAGGACTTCGCCATCATGCCCAGCTCTATAACTTCCCTTTTCTTTTTTCAGTCCCTGACCCCCGCCCTAACTTCCCTTTTTAAAATGGAGTACTTTTAGTATTTGAAATCTGGTTAAGTATTACAGAAATGGGTTTGCCAAGCATGAACACTACCCCCATGTCACAGGAGCCCTGGCCATTAGTGAAACGTGGTTCTTGTAATGGCTAACCTGCTGCATTTTTAACACACAATAAACCCAGGGCAGCCGGGCATGGTGGGGAGCCGGGCATGATAGCACATGCCTGTAATCCCAGCACTCAAGAGGCCGAGGCAGGATAATCAAATCAAGTTTGAGGCCAACATGGGCTCCATAGTGAGTTCAAGCCCAGCCTGAACTACACAGTGAGACCCTGTCTCAAAAAAATCAAAATAAATAAATAAATAAAATAAAAGAATAAGCCTAGGGCTAAGGGTTGTGGCAGGCAATCAGCTCAAATTACCATTTGGTTGCTATCTTATTTGTGATTATTTTTTTCGTTAGGAGGAATATCAAACATGGTAGTAGCATTCTATTTCATTTTTCAATAAGTTTAACTTTTTTTTTTTTTTTTTTAAGAGATGAGGATTCATTATATTACCCAGGTCAGCCCTGAACTCCTGGGTTCCAGGGATCATCCTGCTTCAGCCTCCTCTGGAGCTGAGACTAGGTGCCACACCTAGCTATAAATTTACCTTTTTATTTATTTTGGCTTTTGGACACAAGGTCTTGCTATGTAGTTCAGGCTGGCCTTGGCCTCACTATATACACTAGACTGGCCTCAAACTCTCTGTGATCTTCCTGCCTCAGCCTCCCTAGTGCTGGCATTACAGGTATGCTAATGCCACCAAAATTTACCTTTTTAATGAAGTGATTTCAGATTTAGTATCATCATGAAAGTAATAAAGTTTGAGAAGTGCAAATCTATACTTTACAGCTTAGAAATGGGCGTGGGGGGACTGAAGCCCTGTTTTTTCTCTACAAAAAATATCCCTCTGCTAAGACCGGAGAAGGGCAAGGGCAGCTTCAGTTCCCTCTGTTGCCCAGTCCTGCCATTTCCGCGGCACCCTGGGGCCCACCCACCTCATCGCACACGTGCAGGGCGAAGAAGAGCACCAGCATCCCCGTGGAAGGGTACCGCCCATGATGCTCCGTCCACCTGTCGTGGATGTACTTGAAGAAGGCTGGGTTGTAGATCTGGACCTGGGGGGAGGGATCAGCAGGCCCGTGAGGGGCGGGGCGGGGCGGGGCCGGGCTGCAGCAGCTTCTGCCAGCGCCTTTGACTCTGCTCAGGGCCCAGGTGTGGGTGCTCCGTGGTCCCGTGGGCCAGGCAGGGCAGCCCAGAGGATCCAGAGGGGATCTGGAAGGTTCCAGAAGGGCACTGGGACACCCTGGGTAAGGGCAGCACTGGTCTCAGGAGAGAGGGAGACGAAGAGGGGAGGGGTGGGAAGCTGACCTTCTCTTTGTCCACTCGAAGGAAGGACTTCACTGGCGCGTAGGTGCTGCAGACAGAGAAAGAGAACATTTCAGAGACACCGCTACCCTTCGGCACTGATCACACCATCAACTTGAAGATCTTCGGAATATAGAAATGTTCTAAAATTAACTGTGATGGTTACACCACTCTAGGAATACGGTAAAAAAGTCACAGGATTGTATACCTTCAATAGGGGAGCTCTACAGTAAGTGAATTATATCTTGATAAAGCTCTTGAAAAGAAAATACTTGGTGCAAGGCACATGCATGCCTGTACTCCCAGAATTTGAGAGGCTCAACTTGCTATGAGTTCAAGGCCTGCCTGGGCTACATAGTGAGTTCAAGGCAAGCTTGGACTCCTCAGTAAGACCTTGTCTCAATCAACTAACCAATGAAAATAAAGTAAAATAAAATTTAAAAAAAACTAGGAGAATTGGAATTCCCATGATTCCAGCTGTGACGGGGCAACGGCACCGAGGTAAGTTCTCAGAACGCAGAGCCCCGAGTGTGGAGGCACCTCCTGGAGAGATGACCGACACCACACTGCTCCCTGCCTTCTGACGACAGTCCTCAGATGCCCCTTGCAGGGAGTGGGGCTGAGCAGCTGTGCCGCTAACCCACCGCCCCAGGGCGCCCCCTCACGGGTCTCCTCAGCCATATGTCCAATGAGAATTCTGCAGTCTGTCCCCAAGACCCCCCCGCAGTGCTCCTGTCACCCACGCTCCACTCCCAGCCCAAAAAGGGCCTCACAATCGGATCTGCCCTGTGGACAGGGCACTGGCAATCCACAGCAGATCCAGGGCCTTGAAGGGCACCAACACGAAGCTGACGTTGGCAGGCAGGTTCTTGGCACTCTCAGGGTACATGAAATGATGCGTAGTCCGGCTGCCAACATCCTGCTCAAAGCCCACGGTTGGCGCCTGATTCATCCTGCAGGGGAAAGAGAGCGACATGCAGAGAAACTGCCATGGAAACTGATACAAGATTCTTAGAGGCTGGGTGTGGTGGCGCACGCCTGTAATCCCAGCACTTGGGAGGCTGAGGCAGGAGGATCTTTGTGAGTTTGAGACCAGCCTGGGCTACAAAGTGAGCTCAAGGCCAGCCTGAACCACATAGCAAGACTCTGTCTCAAAACTACCCCCCACAAATTTTTTTCCTTAGGGGACAATAAGGTGCCATCCATCAAAAATGCAAATGATTGAGAATAGTTAATGATTTTTCAATAGGTCACTCATGTATAGCTCTATTTATTTTCTTTAGAGGCCACTTTGAAGATACCAAAATATAGTACAACTCTTGATAATCTCTTTTGTCTCTAACTCACTATTATTTGTCTATCTCTGTTCCTGAGAAACTATTTTGTAGATAACAATATGTAAAACGATAACCATTGATAATTTCCTACCATTTTGTCTGTAATTTGGTAAGCCCCCCCTATTATTATGTTATCCTTCTTTTACTCTTTAAAATAAAATAAAATAAAATAAATGCAAATGAATGTATACTGTGACTCAGAAATTCCATTTCTATACCTTTATCCTGTAAATATGGTTGCAGAGATGTGCAAAGATGTGTACAGGCTATTCAGTGAATCCAAGAACAAAGAACAGATTAAGAATGCCAGGCATGAAAGTGCACGTCTGTAATCCCAGCACTAGGGAGGCTAAGGCAAGGAGGATCACCTACAAGTTTAAAGCCAGTTGGGGCTACACAGTGAGTTCAAAGCCTGCCTGAATTATAGACACCTTGCCTCAAAAAACAACAAAAACAAAGAGGCCAAGAAGGCATCCCATCCTTTCCATGGTACAAAATACTGGGTAAATACAATCCAAGCTGTCATATTTGGGGAGCACCTTACATTGCAGGTGAACCTGCTCTGAACACAAAGCTCTTGGTCCTATCTTCTGACCCTCCTGTCTCCTGAGTGCCATCTGCGGAATCAGGACTACCCAGCGGGGGTGACCAGAACCCAGTCCTCAGCTGCGAGCCGAGTCCCTGGGGCCTCCTCAGCTGCAGTACCGGTTCTGTAAAACCAGTGCAGATGTCGCCGGTCCTGAAAGCGGCTGCGGACTCCTGTGGTGTGGGTGCCCACGCTGTCTTCCTGCTCCTCGCCCAGCGATGGAGCACGGAGGCCAGACCTGTGCGGTCAGGATGCCCCGCCCCTCTAGTCAGTCACTGTGTCTCCCACCTCCCTTTCCCATCCCTGGGGCTCTGGAGGGTTCCTTGGGTGGAGGCCAAAGAGTCTAGAGAATGTTTTTTTCCCTCCCAGTACTGGATGGGACTAAACCCAGGGCCTTTGCACTCAGCTGCATCCCTAGCTTTTAATTTTTTTTTTTTTTTTTTTGAGACAGGGTATTGCAAAGTCATTGCCCAGGCTGGGTATGAATTTGCAGTCTTCCTGCCTCAGCCTCCCAGAGTGCTGGGATTACAAGTGGGCACCACCAGACCTGGCTGAGTCTCTGTTCTTAACCACTCAGTTCTAGTCTGGTTCAAGCAGATCCCTAGAATCTTCCTGCAGAACCTACAGGGCTTCATGCCCAGAATAAGGATCTAGACGCTGCCTCTGTGTCATGGATCCAAGACCTCAGAGGAAATGTCCTTCTGCCTGCTGGGCTCTCTCAGTATCTTTACCCTCCCCGAGAAAGGCTGCACAGGCTGGGAGCTGCAGCAGCTCCACACACAGGCGCAGGTGTCCTGCAGCCACCACAGCTACAGTCTGTGCCTGCCTTCTGCCTTCCGCGGGCTCTGCGGGCAGCAGTGCCGCTGGAGAGGAGCCTGCACAGTATGCACCGTCTGCGCTGGCAGGGACGTTGCTCAGCTGCTTGCAAGAGGTAGGAAACTGGGCCAGCGACCCCACGCTGGGCACAAGCTGGCTCTAGGTTCATGCGGGTGAAGCTAAGAAGCAAATTTCATCTCCCCAGAGCCAAGAGCTAAGTCCGCCCTGCAGAGCAGAGGGCTGCACTGTGCCAGGCTGGCTTCTGGGACCCACTGCCTGCCTTCTCACTGCCCCAGCAGCCAGGGGTCTCTCTAATGTCTCCCCAGCTCGTGTGTGGGAAACCCCTGCCTCTCAGCCCTGTGCGTGGCCCTGTGCACCAAGTGTCAGGAGGGACACATGCAGGGCGGGTGGATACACACTCTTACTTAGTCGCAGTGTCGGGCTGCCTTGGCCTTTTCCTTCACTCGTACATTTACAGCCTGCTATCCAGGCCTGCGGTAGGCACTGCAGATACACTGATGGCCGGCTGAGGCAGGAACAGCCCACCTCCATTTGGAGGAGTCCATCTGGAGGACTTAAAGAGGTGAGCCAGGTGTGCTAGCACATGTCTGTAATCCCAGCACTTGGGAGGCTGAGGCAGGAGGACCGCTCAGAGTTTGAGGCCAGTGTGGGCTTCACAGTGAGGTCAAGGGCAGTCTGAACTACACAGTGAGACCCTGTCTCAAACGGAAAAAAAAGAGGAGGCAGGGGAGACGGTTGGAGGGGGGCATCAGGAGGCAGGGCCCCCATCTCATTGGAAGTGTGGCTCTCCCCTGCAGAATGTCACACTGGTCAAGGATTTAGACAGGTCTATAAATAGAGTCGGCCCCACCACCACCTGACTGCTCACAGACCAACAGCCAATAACAATCTGGGTTGCTCCACCCCATAGGTGACTCTGAGTCCACTCCAAAACGCCACACCTCACACTGGCTCCTGAGCGGGTAGCACCCGTGTGTCCTAAGTGTGCAAGGCTCTTGAGGTTAGACAAACGACCCGGCACTTCCCAAGCACCCCGAGGTGCCCCATCAAAGCTCCCCTCAGCCCTCAGTGAAGGGGACACACTGGACATCTGACGGTGGCTCCCTGGGCTCCCTGAACGCCCGGGACTACACTGGAGGAAGGGAGGCTGCGTTCCCCAACCTCAGCAGCCTCTCTGGGGGACAGAGCCCCTCCCGGCTCCCATCCTGTCCCCCTCCTGTTTGAGGCATCGAACACTGAGTGGAGGATGGGGATGATCCCAGGTGGCTCTGGGGAGCTGGGTGCGGTCTAGTACCCTCTCCCCTCAACCCAGCACATCTCCCAGCTCGAAGAAGGCCTTGCAGGAATGTGGAAAGCCTTGGGGACACACTGCTGCCGGTGTTGCTATGGAGACAACAGTTTCTAAGACAAAGCCCCTCCTTCCACCTCCTGGGAAACCTGGTCTTTCTTCGATGCTCATCCTAAGAGGTGCTTGGTAAAAACCAGGTGTTTTTGGTATCTTTTCTATTTGTCTTTTCTTTCTGTGGCACGGGGGATTGAATCCAGGCCCCTGAGCAAGCCAGGCAAGCACCTGACCTCTGAGCTACATCCCTAGTCCTGGCTCTGAATTTGTAATCCTCTTGCCTCAGCCTCCCGAGCACACGTCTGCCACTGTGCCTGGTATTCTCTTTTTTCACCTAGTCCTGGAGACTGAAGCAGCACTGCGCTGCATCCCAGCCGTTTTTTACTTTGAGACAGAGCCTCACCGCATCGCTAAGCTGCCCAGGCTGGGCTTGAACGTGCCATGCTTCTGCCTCAGCCTCCCAGGGTGCTGGGATTCCAGGCGTGCACCACCATGACTGGCATTATCTTTATCCTTAAGGTGGTTCTTTTACCACAGAGTGGTGGTGAAGGATCCCCACCGTGGCCTATCCTGTCCCCAGCCACGTCAGGGTCTGAACCAAGAGAACAGCCATGTGGAGCCCCTGAGTCCACCCTGTGTTCTTTCAGGCCCAGGCCGCCCTTGCTTGGATCTCTGCCTGCACAGAACGCCCTCCCAGTTTAACTCCCCTCTTCCCCACTCCCGCCGCCCCTTTCTTCTCTCTCTTTTTGAGGTACGGGGACTAAATCCTGGCTTCACACACACACGAGGCAAATGCTCTGCTACTGAGCTGGATCTCTAGACTTATCTCTACACTTTGTATTTGGAGATATGGTCTCCCGGTTGTCTGGGCTGGTCTCAAACTTGTGATCTCTCTGAGTCACTGGGACACAGGCATGGACATGCGCCCGGCTTCCCTCCTAGCCTTTCTTTGTTTGGGGCTGGGCAAGGATGTCCCTAAAAGCTTTGTGAGGATGGAGAGAAGGCCAGAGGCCCAGAAGAAACATGGGACAGCTCCTCTTCCTGCCTACCCAGAACATCGATTTTTTTTTGGTCTTTTTGATACAGGGTCTCACTATGCAGTTCAGGGTGGCCTTGAGCTCACTTTGTAGCCCAGGCTGGTCTTGAACTCCCAATGATTCTCCCGCCTCAGCCTCCTACGTGCTGGGAGTACAGGCGTGCGCCACCACGCCTGGCCTGGATATTGATCTTCCATAGCCCGCCAGCAAGAATCCCCTGTTGCTGTCACGAAAGATGCCAGCTGGGGTGGAAGCCTCATATCTGGCCTAACTGCTGAGAGGATGACACACAGGTTGGAACGGGCGCTGGTGGGAGTTTTCAACTCTTGCCAAAGGAATTCGGAGCCCTGGAAGCTGGCGCAGGCCTCCACCAAAATTTAGATTTGGAACGCTGTCACCTGCCCACCCTCCCCAGACAAGGGAGCCCTTGGCCTGTCCCTGAAGGCTCCGGGTCTGCTTCCTTGGCAGCCCTGGCAGCTGGCAGCTTGGCCTGTGACAAGCAAGGCTTAGCAGTTGAAACCCCGCCCTGAGACCCGGCCTGGCTGCCCCATCCGGCAGGGGCTCACCTCATGATGAAGTTGTGCCCGTCCACGTCTTGCCCGTAGCCGGAGCCCCGCAGGTTGCCCGAGTTCCCCACCACGGCACAGCGCCGGCACTGCTGCGGGTCGCGGGAGCGATAGGGGTTCTCGCCAGGCACGATCTGGAACAGCTTCGCCAGCACCTCGTTGGTGTTGTGTGACTTGAACTGGGGCTGCAACATCTGTGGCGGGGAGAGGGCCATGAGCGAGGAGGAAGCCAGCCGAGGGGGCGGGGCTCCCTGAGCAGGGAGGATCGCGCCCTCCCACCCGGTTCCTAGCGGGCCTCACTTCTTAGAGATGGGCACCCTGCCAGACAGAGGATCCTTGACCCCGAGAGAGAGCGCTCAGCGTAAGGCTGTTACTCCGCACTTTCCTAAGGGACCCCACAGGTCTGCGCCTCGCAGCACTTTCCCTCGGCTCCTTCCTAATCGCCTGTAGGGGGCACCCCTGAGTCTCAGACGCATGGCTGGGGTCACAGAGGCCCAGTCCGGAATAAGGCACATGAACCCTTTCAAAGGCATACGGATTTAATAAAATTGGTCCCCTACACCTCCTGCCACCTGCTGGAACCCAAACCACTAGGTCAAAGAACATAAAATGAGGTGGGGGAGCAGTCCAGTGCTTATCAGCGCCAGGCAGGTGACTGGCATGGTAGAGAAGAGCGGCCCACAGTGACAGGACCCCACGCACCCTATCAAAAGAGCAAATGCAGAGGTGGCTCGGTGGCAAAGCATTTGCCTAGCATGTGTGAGGCCGAGTTTGTTCCCCAGCAGTGAAGAGAGTGACGACAGAGTGTGTGAAAGAGACAAATTCAGCTAACTGTTTTGGTCCATACAAGAGAAGCTAAACAGAATTTTACATAGGATATCTTGATTTCTTTCTTTTCTTATTTGGTTTTTTGAGACAGGATCTCACTATGTAGTTCAGGCTGGCCTTGAATTCCTGGTATGTGCCAACACAGCTGGGTGTTTCTTTTTGTTTTTCCTTTTGGTTGAGACAGGTTCTCACTATGTAGTCACGCTGCCCTTGAACTCACTACATAGCCCAGGATGGCGTCAAACTCACAGCGATCTTCTTGTCTCAGCCTCTCAAGTGCTGGGATTACAGGCATGCGCCGCTATGCCTCACTGACCAGCTGTTTCTAATGGAACTACTTTACAAGAACTTAGTAAACTGTACATGGCCCATAGCGAGGGCTTTAAAATACTGGCACCTCAACCCAACCCCATGAGTCTGTGGACAGGCAGGAGCTCCTCAAGGACCAGAGATCTCTGGAGGAGCCTGGCTATGGGAAGCAGGGAAACATGTCAACTAAGGGACATGTCCAGTGCTCTAACAGCCGCTGGGTTTATGCCCGTGAGGAGGAGGCCTGTCCTACTCCCAAGCATCCACCTCTGCCCAGAGTCCAGTTCTGACTCTACGTGGCCACACTGAGATGATGCCACCTCAGGCAGACGCTGGCCACTCTCAGAGCCTTGCGTTTCCCATAAATGGAGGCTGTGACTACAAGCAGCAGGCAGGAATCTTCCAGGCTCTGGTTGCAATAAGGACCTGGGAGGCACCTAGGAGCCCCTGCTTTGCAGACCCAGGTCCTGGGTGTCTCTGAGTCTGGGCCAGAATGAAGGACCTGGGGTTTTCTGATAAACCTGTCACACAAGCTCATCCTCACAGTGTCCACAGCGTTCCTGACAGCAAGAGAAAGAAGAGTCACCCTGCTCCCATTTTCTGACTGGGGAAACCAAGGACTCGGCGTTGCTCTCCAAGCGGGGAACGTGAGCAGCCTACAGGCTCCACCTCGGCCCAGACAGCAACCGGGTGGCACTGCAGCCTGCGGAGGCTGCTCCAGAAACGATGGGCTCTGGGCAGAGGGCAGTAAGAGAAGCAAAAAGATGCCAGGACCTGAAGACTGGGCAGACCTCAACCTCCCTTAACCCCGAGGGTAGTCTGCAAGGACTTTTTAATCTCAGCCTTGAGCAGTCTTTCCGGCAAACGTAAAGAACCAGGAGCAGCTCCGGTGGTATTCATAATTACTCTGAGCCAGCGCACTCGCAGTAGGATATTTAGTTTCAAGATTTAGTTCCTGGGGTCTCCTAAGAGGTCCACCGATGCAGTGGTGTCAGCCACACCACCACACAGAGGCGCTGGCTGGGGCTGAGCGTGGGCTGCTCCTTTTCTGTCTGACCTGCCTGGGCCAATAGCTATTTCTTATCTGTGCTGAGCTCCTATAGGCATCGAAAAATACTAGTTCTCTCTCTATTTTCAGGCCAAAGCTCACTTTGCCCTTCAATAATTTATGATCCCACAAGCAGGCCTTCCACTTTGTTAAGATGCTACGGTCCAGAAGACAGAAAGCCCAAGCCATAGAGGGGGCTCTAACAGTGACTCCAAAATAAGGTGACCGGGTCCTAGAGAGGAGACAGCAAAGGGAAGGCGGGAGAGCCACGGGTCTCACCATCCACCACCTCTGGACATCTGGAGGGAGGTCCATGTTCTCGCGCGTCCAGACGGGGGAGATGTTGCTGTCAAAGTGGCTGTCAAACCAATCGGAGGCGCCGGTGTCACCCATGCAGCGGCGGCAGGCACAGCTCTTGCCGGAGAGGCCCTCCTTGCTGAGGCGCTGCAGGCCAGCATAGCCGGGCAGCAGCTTCACCCGGTGCGTCCCGCCCAGGGCCCCGGAGTCCAGGTAGGGCAGGGTGGTCATGCTATGGTGCGAGTAGGTGAACAGCAGGGACATGATGAACACCAGCAGGAAGGCCACCGAGAGGAACCACACCCGCAGGGAGCACTTCATGGCTTTGGCGGGCAGGTGGCTGTCACCGCGGCCACTCCTTCCCCAGTCCACCGAAGGGCTGGCCACGGCGCAGCCTGCCTGCTCGGACAGTACGTGCAAAGGGCATAGGGGCGCGTGCTGTGGCAGGAGACCCTCGCCAGCCGTCCCTCCCTCTATGTAAAGAGAAAGCTCGCTGGCAGGAGTGGCACCCCTGTCCCTGAGCCACGGTGGCCCCTGCTTAGGGCTTCATCGGTGTCTCTGTCACTAGCTGGGCCACAAGGGCTCTGCTTCTCCTGCCGCCCTGGTGAGGGCGAGGTCAGTCCATGCCAGCTCTCTAGTCCCTTGAGATCGCCGGCTGTCAGCTCCGGAGTTTCCCCTCTTTGGTGGCTTGAAAAGGTCCAGTGTGGAGCAGTTGGGGTCCTTGTGGCTCATGAGCAGACGCTGAGGCAGGCCCTCGTGCCCCGCAGCGGGGAAGCCCCGGAGCTCTGATCACAGCAGAGCGCACTCAGGTGCAAGGGGCCGCATTCCCTGCGAGAGCCCTTCCCAACCTGGCTGCCAGGGCAGGGGAAGCAGGCTCCCCTCCCCGTGACAGAAGGGAACCCAGAAGCCCTGTAACTGCCGCAGAGACCAAGATCTCCTGGTGCTGGCTTCCACCCCACTGCGTCCCATCCAAGTGCCGCTCTCTTCATCCAAGTGGCGCTCACACTCCAGCTGCCACGGGGCAGGGGTCACGGAGCACCTACTCCTGCTGTGGGGTCCTCCGGGGCTGGGAACAGCTGCTGCTCGCCGAGCACTGCATCCAAGCCAGCTGGGTCAGCAGAGTGTGCGGAGCGCTCCCCACCAGGGCCCAGGCCTCCTTCCTGGAGCTGCTGGTCTGGGCTCGGTGGCTGCCCCGAGGCCAGTCTGTCCTGCCGAAGCTCGCGCCAGCAGTAATCCCCTGGCAGGTCCCCCTCACTCGTCAGGCGCCAGGCTGCCGCAGCACGACCCTGGAACTGCGGAGAGGAAAAAGAATGTGCAGAGAAATCACACAAACACACAGGCTCTCCCCGCCCCCGCCCCCAAGTCTCAGAGGGGCCAAAGCTAGCCGGAGACAAGGCCCACTTAATCAGAGAGGGGACGAAAGAAAGGGCTCTCTCCTCTAACTAGGCAAAGACGGCGTGCTCTCCTGACTCCCAGACCTCAGGGGGCTAGATCGGCCCAGCATCTTCACTTATTAGCCAGAAGGTAAACAAAACCTACAGTAAATCGATTTTCCCAGAGTAAGTTGTGCTGAAGTACTAGGTTCAGTGCAGTTTGCGTGGTAACTTTCAGGTGAAACTTATTTTACTTTTTTTTTTTTTTTTTCCCAAACTCACAACCTCACGCTCGCCAGGCAGGTGCTGCACCACTGAGCTATATCCCCTGCCCTTTCAGGTGAACCTTACAAGAAAACAGCTCAACAGCCGGGCGTGGTGGTGCATGCTTTTAATCCCAGCACTCAGGAGGCTGAGGCAGGAGGATCGCCCCAAGTTCAAGGCCAGCCTGAGCTACATAGTGAGTTCAGGCCAGCAAGACCCTGTCTCAAAAAAAAAGAAAGAAAAGAAAGAAAAGAAAAGAAAATATAGCAGGGGGGTGGGGGCGGGGGCGCTGGAAGTTTAGCTCAGTGGTGCAGTGCCTGCCTGGCAAGCATGAGGTCTTGAGTTCAGTTCCTGGTACCACCCCCCTGAAAAAAAAAACAGAAAAGAAAATGGCCCAGAGGACCTAGGGGACTGAACAGGTCTCCCCAGTACAATGTGCTCAGGGGCCTCCAGTAAAAAGGGAGGGCTAGGCCCAAGTCCCGCAACCTAGCCCTCTTCTCTGGCCAGTGTGGATTATATGGGAGACGCTTTCAGGATGGCACAAACACAGGTGAACTATGAACAATCCTCCTGATATGGGTGCGGTGCGGGATCCAGCTGTGTCAGGAGGCGCAACTGCCAGACGCAGGACCCAGTGGCCAGCCCTCCAGGCGGCTGCCTTCTGTTATATCTCAAGGGTGAAATGAACACCGGGATCTCTGGTAGGGCGGAGACCCCAAGCTGCCCTGGCGGACAAGAACAGGGAGAAGAGGCCACCTTTACAGTATTTGGGTATCGGCCTTGAGGAAAGGAACTTGAATCCATGCCTTGGCAATCTCTTAACACTATCTCCTCTCCAAATCGGCCCACGCTAGCTCTGACCCAGCCCCTAGGCCTGGAAGCCCTGCGCCCACTCCCTCTCCTGGTTGCAAGCTCCAGCCAGCTTTGCTGGGGTTCACTGGCTGCTGCTGCCAGCTGCACAGGTCTCTGAGGCCATGTGTTCAAGAGACTCAGCTGTCTCCTCCATTCGTAGTAGCTCAGATTTCTGGGGCAAAGCCAAACCACAAAGCCATTAGGGAATGGAACCATCACGCTGCAGGGAGATCCCTCAGGGGGAGGGAAAGGATGCACACAGAAGAGAAAGAACTGGATTCCTTCACTTACAAGTCATGACCTCAGGAGCAGCGGTGAGCTTTGAGCCTAGGCCCAGCAAACTCCAGAGCCTGGGATGGGCCAGGGCACAGGAAGCGGCCTGGTGCTCCTTGAGCTATGCAGGGGCAGAGGGGAGAGGGAGGACGGACGCAAGCCGGCTTCCCAGGGTCACAAGTGAAGCTTCACCACCAGCAGCACTGACTCAAATGTGCTTCTTCCGATGTTCTCTTTGGCCACTTAGCAGATCATGATCTACGAGTGGCCTCTGGCTGAACAGAGGATTGGGAAGAAGCCAGGGCCAGCTCTCCCTTTGCCTTTTTCCACAGCCAGTGTAAGGAAAAGCACACAGGGGTACAGGGTGCCGCTCCCAGACTCCTGGACCCAGGAGAGCCCTCCATGGTGTATGAGTCCCTGGGAGGCAGTGATTTTGCAGACCAGGCAAGTGACAGAGGAGTCACCTTTGGGGAGACCTGGTTTGTGGGTGGCAGCTCCACTGTGACACTGTGAAGGCGGGACTTGGTCAAAGCTGGCATAGGAGGCTTCCAGAGGAAACATCTCAGCCAGAAACGTCACTAACTCCTGGGGATTCTAAAGCAACACAGGGGCATCTGAGGTAACTGCACGGCTTTACTGAAGAGAGGAGAATGCCTAGTTCAACGTGTTCAGGAAAAGCAGAGGACTGAAGTCCCTGGCAAAAGCCCTTGCTCCCGGAACCCCATGTCCAGGATGTGACTGGGAGCGGAAGCTGCTCAACTTGTCTTGAGGACAAAAGGCAAAAGGCCTTAGAGGCCTTGAGGACAAAAGGCCTTAGAGGCCTCTGACCCGCATTAAAAATCCAGCAGTCACCCAGAGCTGGCCCTCTTGTCTCATTTCCACCTGTGGCCCACTGCCTCCCCAGGACTTCTTCCTTTTACTCTGTTCCTGCCAAGCCCATGCACTACCCAATATAAAATGCTGAGGGCAGGGTACACATTTTGCATCAGCGTCTGCTGCCAATGAAGGGAAGCAGGCCTGTACTCCTGGGTTCACCCCAAAGATACCCAGGAGCCAGCACCACATGGGGGCATGGGGGAGAACAGGATACACCCAGTGCAGGCCGCAAGGAGCTTACAGTCGGGGACCACAAAGACAAAGGTGGTTACCACGTGCTGTACAGGGAAATGACAGACCTGCAAGAGGAGAAAAGAAACCAAAAGCTTTGGGAAGAAACCAACCTGGCCTATTAAAAGCATGATATGGAGCTGGGGTGCGGCACAAGGCCCTGGGTTCCATCCCCCGCATCCCAAAGCAGAAAAGAAAAGCAAAAGAAAGAGAGCAAGACATCGAGCGAGCACAGCATTAAGCCAGTTTGTGAGAGGAAGCCAGGAGGCTTGACCAGGATTTGTTACAAATGTGATGGGTGGGTTCTGAGAAAGAACGTGTCATGACCTGATTTTGACTTTAAAATGGATCTTCAGACTAAACTGTTTAAAATATTCCCAGGGTCAACACTTTGGAAAGAATGTGAAGTATTAAGAACAGTGAGGTCTGGGCATGGTGGCACAGGCTTGTAATCCCAGCACGCAGGAGGCTGAGGCAGGAAGATTGCTGTGAGTTTAAGGTCAGCCTGGGCTACAAAGTGAGCTCAAGGCCAGCCTGAACTGCATAGGGAGATCCTGTCTCAAAAAGACAAAAAGGAAAAGAAAGAAAGAAGGAAAGAAGGAAAGAAAAAACAAAAAAGAAAGAAAAAGCGAGAAGCTAGCATGGTGGCACATGCCTGTGATCCCAACACTTGGGAGGCTGAGGCAGGAAGATTGTTGCAAATTTGAGGCCAGCCTGGGCTACATAGTGAGTTCAAGTCCAGTCTGAACTACATAGTGAGACCCCGTCTCAAACAAAGAAAAAAGAAAAAAGAAAAAAAAAAGAACACTGAGGAGCTGGGTGCAGTGCTACATACTTACAATCCCAGTACTGTAGGAGGCTGAGGTAGGAGATTGCAAATTGGAACCCAGTCTGGGGAACTAAACAGCTCAGTGCAAAGGCCTTGGGTTCAATTCCCAACAAAACACACACACACACACACACACACGGAACAGTGACACGCATGGGTGGCAATGGAAACGGGTATGTTTTGGAAGATAACCTGACATTACTTAAAATGGACATGAGTATATCCCCATGGGGGTGTGTATGTGTGCTGTTTTAAGGCAAATTAAAAAACACCTTCTTGGGCTGGGGATATGGCTCAGTGGCTGAGCTCTTGCCTTACATGCACAAAGCCCTGGGTTCGATCCCCAGCACCACAAAAACAAAACGAAACAAAAACACCTTTCTCACAGAAAATATGGTGTCTTCGTAGAATGGAAGACCACAAAGTCCTCTCAGTCCTGGGTTTATTTCGTGACTGCCCAGGGTCTTGGCACATGTCCTCAGAAATTGTTTTCCCTCAGGGTTGGGTTGGTTGGGAAGTAATGGTTTCTCACCCCAAGGTGGATTCTGTCTTCTTGTCATACTAATCAGAGTTAAAGATTAAGCCAAGGGGCTGGGGATTTAGCTCAGCAGCACAGCACCTGCCTGGCAAGTGCAAAGTCGTGAGTTTGATTCCTGGTACCGGAAACACCGCCCCCCACAAAAAAGTTTAAGCCAAACCCAACAACAGGATTAAATGTACCATTTCATTTCCTCCCCAGAACTCACTCAGGTGACTCTTGTCCCCCACTTGGGATGACCCCCTCCTCTTTTGTGGTACTGGGGCCTAAACCCAGGGCCACTCTACCTCTGAGCTACATCTCCAGTCTTTGTAGTTTTTCCTTGCGACATAGGATCTTGATAAATGGCCCAGGAATGCACATGCCTGTAATCCCAGCACTGGAGAAGCTGAGGCAGGAAGATCACTGCAAGTTCAAAGCCAGCCTGAAATCCATAGCAAGACCCTGCCTCGTAAAATAAAATAAAAACTAAAAATCATAGATAAACAAATGGCCCAGGCTGGCCTCACACTTGTATTCCAAAGCCTCCCAAGTAGCTAGGATTAAAGGGCCCTCTTTTTTGTAGTTTAATTCACATACTATGAAATGCAGAGATCTTTCAATACAAAGTCTGACAACAGGGCCGGGGATATAGCTTGGCGGCACAAGCACCTGCCTGGCAAGCGCAAGGTCCTGAGTTCGATTCTTGGTACCAAAAAAAAAAAAAAAAAAAAAAAAAAAGACAAAGTCTGACAACTTTTACCTATGTGCTCATCGATGTGACCACCCTCTTTAGAACACAGAACTCTTCCCCCATCCCAGGATTCCCTCTGCTCCGTGCTGTAGCTGCCCCTCTGCTTTTCTGAGCTGTGGCACCAGAGAGGAGCTGTCCCTGCTCCCGCGCCCCTCGGGAACACGTGCAATGTTGTCACCATGATGTTCTGGAGATGCATTCATGTTGCTGTACCAAACGCTCAGTTCTTTTCCAGGTCTGGACACTGAGCTGCTCCTCGTTCTGGGTTATTACTAAAACTGCCATGAATCCCCTGTACCGGTCTTTTTAGTGGACACATACTC